CACTCTTGCTCATCATAACTATGTACTTAGTTAGTTTATTTAATACCCAGGAGCAGAGAAGAAGATTTTCAAAGAATTCATGTATTTTCACTACATAATCAATAGAGCTCTGCCCTAACACCAGAACCCCTGACCCTAGAGCCTAAAAATTCACAATTTTGGTAGAGGCACTCTTGCTCATCATAACTATGTACTTAGTTGGTTTATTTAATACCCAGGAGCAGAGAAGATTTTCAAAGAAATAATGCATTTTCACTACCTACTTATTTAGCCCCGCCCTAGCACACTTCTGACCCCAGGGCCATGAATTTCACAATTTTGGTAGAGGACTCATTGCTGATTACAATCATGCAAACAGTTTGACTGCTTGATGTCTAGGAGTAAAGAAGAAGATTTTGAAAGATTGCATTAATTTTAGTGGTTTTGGCCCCACCCCTCAGGCCCCAGGGGGGCAGGGATCATGAAATTCATAATTTTTGTTCCCCTTCACCCATAGATGCTTTGTGCCAAATTTGCTTGAAATTAGTTCAATGGTTGCAGAGAAGAAGCTGAAAATGTTCAAATGTTAACACACGACGCACGACGACGGACGAAAACAGATAGCAATAGGTCACCTGAGTTTACTCAGGTGACCTAATAATGAATTATTTCTTTGAAAATCTTCATCTTTGCTCCTTAGTATTAAATAAACTAACCAAGTACATAGTTATGTTGAATAAGGCTACCTCTTCCAAAATTGTTAATTCCACGGCCCCTGGGTTGGGGGTTCTGGTGTTAGGGCGGGGCTTTATTGATTATATAGTGAAAATGCATAAATTCTTTAAAACTCTTCTTTTCTGCACCTGAGTATTTAACCAATGAACTATGTACATAGTTATGAGGAGGAAGGATGCCTCTTTGAGATTTTTGAATTTCAGGGTCCCTGGGTTAGGGCTTCTTGTGTTAGGGCGGGGCTTTAATTTATAGTGAAAATGCATGAATTCTTTGAAAATCTTTTCTTTTGTTGTTAGGTATAATGCCAATGATCTTAGTATATATTTATGAAAAAAAAACCCTGCTTCTTCCAAAAAATGGTTAATTTCGTGGCTCCTGGGACAGAGGTACTTTGGGGGGGGGGGGGGGGGGAATAACATATTCTGAAATAATTTAATGCTTTGAAATCTGCACTTTGTTATTAATCAACAGCATGATGAAATAAAATTTTTAAAATTTCCAAAATTTTGAAAGATGTGGCCCCAGGGTCAGTGGTTCCTGTGGGATGGGGAGCTCGACTTTGGACCTGCCCTAACACAAGAAGCCCTGACCCAGGGGCCCTGAAATTCACTAAAAGTGGAAATGCATTTTCTCTTTGTTACTCTGATCTACCTCTGGGTATTAAGTAACCAAAATAAGCATGCTGAGTGTATAATTATGATGAGCAATGGTGCCTCTTTCAAAATTGTGAATTTCATGGCCTCTAGATTAAAACATTAATCAAATTCAGTTGTTGGAAAGTTGTTGCATGATACTCAGGTGACCTATAAGGCCCATGGGCCTCTTGTTTGAAATTGAAATTTGAATACAGGTAAACTTCTGCATTGGATATGTCGACAGTCTGGGATATGTCTACATCCATCCGCAACTTGGCATTATTATTTTCTATATATAAATTATTTGCTAAAACTCAGATATGTCGACCTCGTTAATGTCGACAGACCCGCTTATCTCGACATATACTCACAGTCCCAATAGAGCAAATCTCAACATCGAGGCTTTTTTTCTGCTCTATTTAACCTACTGATTAGAACCACTGATCCTGGGGCCATGAATTTCACAATATTGTTAGAGGGCTCACTGCTTATTACAATCATGCCAATAATTTTACTGCTTGATGTTCAGGAGTAAAGGAGAAAATTTTTAAAGATTGCATTAATTTTGGTGGATTTATACTTTTAACCCCACCCCTTAGGCCCAGGGGGGAGGGGCAGGGACCCTGAAATTCACAATTTTTTTCCCCTTCACCCAAAGATGCTATATGCCAAAATTGATTGAAATTGGTGAAGCGGTTTCAGAGAAGTTGAAAATGTTCAATTGTTAACTCGATCACGACAAACGCCAATGGACAAAAAAAAGATAGCAATGGGTCACCTGAGTAGAACAGTAGTTGAATACCAATTCCGATCAGAATAAACAATTAGTCTCTGATGAGACTGTAGCTTTACAGGGTCTGTATGTATAACAAAGGAAAAGTAGCACTTGGGTTTGAAACTTTGCAACAGGCAGCTTTCAATAGAATTATGTATCTTAGTGTAGTCTACTTGTGAGCCAAATTACGCCGGACGCCAGATATCCGGATGCTTCAGTATCCGGACAACATTTCACAGGAACGGAATTTTTAAACGTTAATTTGTCTTGTTTAACTGGTAATTCAGGTATCCGGACGCCTCACATATCCAGACAAATTGACTGGGAACCAAAGCGTCTGGATAAATGAGGTTTCACTGTATATTGAAATCAGATCAAAATTGTAGGAGGAGTGGCATTTTAAAGAATTTTCACAGAAATTTCTATTTTTAGTTACCATGGCATCACTAATCATCGAAATCAAAAACCAATGCAATAAATTATGTATCTTCATGTAGTCTACCGCTACTTGTGTGCCAAGTTATATTGAATCAGACCAAAACTGTATGAAGAGTTACTGTAGTGTTTCAAAGGAATTCCATAGAAATTTCTATTTTAAGTAACCATGGCAACATCGTTCATCGAAATCAAAAACCCATGCACTAAATTATGTATCTTAGTGTAGTCAACTTGAGTGCTATTGAAATCAGCCCAAAACTGTAGACGGAGTAGCATTTTGAAAAATTGTTTACAGACTTACAGACATACAGACAGATGAACAACAGACACATTACTATCGAATAAGCTCTTCTAGTCTCTTACCAGTACAGCTAAAAAAAAATTGAGGCAGCAGTAAAAAATTGGGGCTGGCAGGAATGAGAATCTAGGAATATTTTTATTATGGTCTAAAATATTCAACTTGTAAATGATAGAACTATCTCTGAGGATTAAAAGACATGTTTTATTTTTAGCTCTACTGGTCAGAGACCAGAAGAGCTTATGCGATAGTAATGAGTCCGGCGTCCGTCCGTCCGTCCGTCTGTCTGTCTAGCTGTCCGTCTGTCTGTAAACTCAAAATGCTACTCCTCCTACAGTTTTGGTCACTAATTTCAATATAACTTGGCACACAAGTACTAAACTCAAGATACATAATTCTGTGTAATTTCGATGTACGGTGTTGCCGTGGTTACTAAAAATAGAAATTTCTGTGAAATTCTACTCCTCCTACAGTTTTGGTCTGATTTCAGTATAACTTGGCACACAAGTAAAACTTACATAATTCTGTATATCGGTTTTTGATTTTTATTTGCCGTGGTTACTAAAAATAGAAATTTCTGTGAAATTCTAAAATGCTATCCTCCTACAGTTTTGGTCTGATTTCTTAACTTGGCACACAAGTAGAATGATACATAATTCTGTGTATCGGTTTTTGATTTTGATGAACGGTGTCTCTAAAAATAGAAATTTCTGTGAAATTCTTTCAAAATGCTACTCCTCCTACAGTTTTGGTTTGATTTCATTATAAACTTGGCACACAAGTAGACTACACTAAGATACATAATTCTGTGTATCGGTTTTTGATTTCAGAGTTGCCGTGGTTACTAAAAATAGAAATTTCTGTGAAATTCTTTCAAAATGCTATTATTTTGGTCTGATTTCAAAACTCACACAAGTTCACTGATCATTATTAAAGTACTTTTCTCTTCCTTTGCTATATACCAAGTGTTTAGACCTTATTAATTTTTCTTCAATTATACCTGTTTACCTTAATTGCAATTTCATAATGCAAGTTCTCCATGACCAGGACCTTAAGGGGAACATTTTAAAATGGAAATGAAAGCACTAAGTCTTCTATTATATTTAAATCTTCAAATGGAACATCAAGTGTTAAACAATCAATTGATATATCTACAGGGCCATTTTATACATAAAGTCAATCAAGCGCTTTGATTTGTAACTGGAAGACAAAAATTCAAACTAATTTACGAATCAAATCTGGAAATCAGGAGATTTTCGGGATGATCAGCAAAAATAGGGAGCAGAAGCATGACCTTCTTTGTTTGCAGCTAGCTTTTTGACTGCAAAGCTTCAACTAAAACCAGTAAAAGTGTATCGTATACTTTAGGTCAGACGGCACCTTCCTGAAAAATATATAATTTTTCCCATGGCAAGAATTTGTCATTGAAGTCTAGGTACTTAAACAAGTTTCCTCAGAAAAAATTAATTGATAGGTTGCCACAGGTTTTACGTATTAAAAAATTTAACAAGATGCCGCCAAAGACATAGATAGCTTGGAAGTATTTAAAAGAACAACTGATTCGATACCTGTAACATGTAATTTATGTGAATTGGAGTTATCGTGTAAGGTTGTGACTTCAAATTTCTAAATAATTATTCTCCTTGATCGGGACATAATTATATCGGGTGATATTTAAAATTGAAACTTAATATTTTTTTCCGTATTTTTTATCCCATTTGGGTAGTTATTCACAATATCTTTGTGTTTTATTGGCCTATATCACAATTTTTGGTGTACTTATATTTAAAAACATATTGAAAACAATGTAGAAATCACAAGAGAATGACAAATATGCATAATTATTTATAATATAATACCAAGAAATACAAAAGACATATTTGAGGAACGTGCCGTCTGACCTTACTGGAACTATTATACTCAGGTGACCATTAAGGCCCTTGGGTCTCTTGTTTGGCCTCTTGGAGCAAGGAAGTGTTCAATCACCAGATAGAAATTTGATGATGGCAGAGTAGTAAAAAAATTATAAGAACATTAATACAAAGACTGCTTTGCAAGGGTTGTGGCCCATTGGCCTCAAAAATGACAGACTTGGTCAAATTGTGTGTATATAACAGTATTTTATTTTTTATTCAGCTTTCAACAAATCTCTGCCAGACGAGCTGATGAGATGGCCTCAGGTGGACACCCCAATCCTCGAAGACTTGCTGATGAATGACACCCTTGACACAGGCATCTTTGTTCAGAACCATGAGGAGAGAAGGTCATCAAGTCAGCTCAGCAATGGATTCTCTGTCAATTCAACCCCAGCATATCAAGGCAAAGATTTCAGCTACTCTTATCAATTTCCACCAACCACATGGAGCAGTGGAGAAGTCAGTGGTAATCACAGCAACACCACCGCCAGCTGTCGATACGTTGACAATCCATTTGCTTTCGGGATGCCATGGGAGAAGTCTCCAGCAGCACCACCTGACATCATGAGATCTGCATTCTCTTCAACTTCTTCATCTGCCTCCTCCTCCTCCTTACCTCAGATCAACTCAGGATTCCAGGACCTCACCATATCTTCAGCAGCATCCTCTTCATCTCCCATTGACTCAGGATTTCAGGACTTTTCTGCCTCGGCCTATCCTCCAGTGTTCCAGGAGATGGAAGATCTTCCAGACTCTGCCCCCATGTGGACACCATCGGAGTCCGAGAGCCAGCCACCGGTAGAATTTGTCAACTTCATGAAAGCATATCACACTTGGATGAGGTACAAACAGAGGAATTTTCCCAATGCTCCCCGGACTCCCACAATTCCAACTCCCTTTCATAGCCAGGAAGACAGGGGATGTGCCCTTTGTAAGAAGAACCGCAAGCCTCAGTCCTTCTACTCCACCCATGTACTGAAGGATAACAATGGAGTGGTCATTTGTCCAGTCCTGAGGGAATTCACCTGTCCCAAATGTGGAGCAACTGGGGACCGTGCCCATACCCTTCGTCACTGTCCCATCGCCAGAAAGGAAAACCACATCTAGGATTCAACTCGGGGAGAAAAGTGATGAAGCTTAAAGGAAGTGATCAAGCTAAGAGAATGTGACTATGAGTACAGATATCACTTGGCATACTTAACATTCCATGAACTCTTACAATTCAAACACCCTTTCAAGGCCAGACAGACGGGGGGCTGTTAAGATATTTCATTATGAAAATATATACATATATACCGATTGCGTCTCAGGGTAATTTCATTCATCGAAGAACACAAGTAGATTAAAAATTCTCCATTTTAATGATTTTAATTAAATAATTTCAATTCCCTGTACATTTTTTGATTTTCTATTTACGCATCAAACATATTTTGCTTATAACATTTTATTTTCTATGATGTAGAATATAATAAAATGTGTATTGTTAATTGATAAGTGTGTACATGTAATAGATGTCAATTACTCAGTGTATTAAAACCAACAAATTTTTATCATCAGATGAACCAGTGTAATCAATATTTGTATAAAATGTAAATTACCTGTAGAAAATGTAGTTAAAATGCTGTAATATAGCATAGCTTTTTTCTCCATTATGTAATTCATCACATGACAACAACATTATACTAAGAAATACTATCTAAATGGTGGAGAGTTTGTTCAATATCATCATTTTTTCATGTTTGACTATTTCATTTGTACGACAATCATGAGAGACTTTCAGTTACTTGGATGTTTTTGATACAATATGTGCCTTTTTGTAATTATTTATTTTTACAAAAATTAATAGTAGCTACAAATAGATTAGAATATTGTGATTTTTTTCAATTGTTAAAAAATCGAATAAATTTTATAAAATAAAGCAAACAAGTCTTTCTAGTTTTACTTACCAGCCTAATTTTGCAAATGTATTGTTGACGAAGTAATCTCCAATGTAGTCCAAATCATGGAACCTCTTCTTATCATAAGGTCGTTCATTTACCATCTTGAGTTTACTCTAACCAAAAAAAAAGTTGATAATCAAAAAGAAATCCTCCAGTGACTTGCCAACATCATTGTCATTTTAGTGACTATCATTACAAATTGTTTACAATGAGATTTATGATGAGCATAAATATGTTGGTACCTAAATAAAGGCCTTGTTATAAGGAATGCACATGTAAAATATGAAAGCCTAAGCTAGACCAAATCAAAAGTTATGAGCAAGGTTAAAGTGTTAGTGGACAGACAGACAGATGAAGAGGGTGAAAATTTTATACCCCAAATCTTCAGTTATGGGGGCATAAACTTTCTTATTTTGAAGACTAGGAGTAGACAAATGATGTACCCTATATGCAATTTCTTTCTTTGCCAAAAAATTTCGGAAGTTCTACAAGTGGTATTTTTAGCTCACCTGAGCCGAAGGCTCAAGTGAGCTTTTCTGATCACATTTTGTCCGTCGTCCGTCCGTCTGTCCGTCTGCCTGTCCGTCTGTAAACTTTTCATATTTTCGACTTCTTCTCAAGAACCACTGGGCCAATTTTGACCAAACTTGGTACAAAGCATCCTTGGGTGAAGGAGAATTTAAATTGTTAAAATGAGGGGCCAAGTTCCCTCACAAGGGGAGATAATCAAGAAAAGACAAAAATAAGGTTGGGTCATTAAAAAATCTTCTTCTCAAGAACCACTGGGCCAGAAAAGCTGAAACTTATGTGGAAGCATCCTGGGGTAGCGTAGATTCTAAATTGTTCAAATTATGACCCCCGGGGATAGGGAGGGGTCACAATGGGGAATCAAAGTTTTACATAGAAATATATAGGAAAAATCTTTGAAAATCTTCTTCTCAAGAGCCACTGGGCCAGAAAAGCTGAAACTTATGTGGAAGCATCCTGGTATAATGCAGATTCTAAATTGTTCAAATCATGACCCCCGGGGGTAGGGCGGGGCCACAATAGGGAATCAAAGTTTTTCTTAGAAATATATAGGAAAAATTTTTAAAATCTTCTTCTCAAGAACCACTGGGCCAGAAAAGCTGAAACTTATATAGAAGCATCCTTGGGTAGTGTAAATTCTAAATTGTTCAAATCATGACCCCCGGGGGTTGGGCGGGGCCACAATGGGGAATCAAAGTTTTACACAGAAATATATAGGAAAAATTTAAAAATCTTCTCAAGAACCACTGGGCCAGAAAAGCTGAAACTTATACAGAAGTATCCTTAGGTAGTGTAGATTCTAAATTGTTCAAAAAAGGTCATGACCCCGGGGGTTGCCTGGGGCCACAATGGGGAATCAAAGTTTTACATAGAAATATGTAGGAAAAATTTAAAAATCTTCTCAAGAACCACTGGGCCAGAAAAGCTGAAACTTATACAGAAGTATCCTTAGGTAGTGTAGATTCTAAATTGTTCAAATCATGACCCCGGGGGTTGGGCGGGGCCACAATGGGGAATCAAAGTTTTACATAGAAATATGTAGGAAGAATCTTCTTCTCAAGAACCACTGGGCCAGAAAAGCAGAAACTTATGTGGAAGCATCCTGGGAAAGTGTAGATTCTAAATTGTTCTAATCATGACCCCCAGGGGTAGGACGGGGCCACAATGGGGAATCAAAGTTTTACAATGTTGAATCAAAGCATCCTATGGTAGTATAGATTTCAGATCGGTGATGATCAGTGGGGTAAGGTGGGGTCACAATATGTATTACAAGGGGGAAATCTGGTAAAGAACGGAATGTTCAAAGCTTCTCAGGTGAGCGATGTGGTCCATGGGCCTCTTGTTTTCATACTCTACCAGAAATTAAATCCAAGCAATATGCAGTCTTTGATCTATAAAGTTATTCTGCAAAACTAAAAAGTGCCTGTATTGAAAACTGGGGGAGGAGTTAAATTAATTTTCACTAATTCTTAATTATCTCCTTGTGAAAGACGGTATGGTTCTTCATTTAAACAAGCTTAAATCCCCTTCTCTAAAATTCTCCTAAAGATAGTTTTTTTTGGGGGGGGGGGGGGGGGGTGAAATTTGCCCAGTGATCTGATGAAAAATTACTGAAAACTTTCATATGCATTTGATTGTAAAAAGTTCAGCATTGAATTGATTATATAGTTAAAATGCTAATCAGCAAGGGTGCCTCTAAAATGTGAAAATCTTGATAAGAAAATCAGATGGAAAGACAGATACAATTGTAGAAAAAAATGTGAACAGGCCTGGGGGCCATAAAACTTAGATGAGCTCACTTTTGATCTTAGTCTCACTTTTTAGCTCACCTGAGCTGAAGTGAGCTTTTCCAATCAAAATTTGTCTGTTGTTGTTGTCATTGTAAACTTTTCACATTTTCATCTTCTAAAGAATCACTGGGCCAATTTCAACCAAACTTGCCACAAAGTATTCTTGGGTAAAGGGAATTCAAGTTTGTTCAAATGAAGGGCAACGCCTTCTTCAAAGGGGAGATAATTATGAATTAATGATAAATTAATGGTATCTTTTAAAAATCTTCTTCTCAAGAACCACTGGGCCAGGAAAGATGAAACTCATGTGGAAGCATCCTCATGTAGTGTAGATTCATGTTGTTCAAATCATGACCCCCAGGGGTAGGGTAGGGCCACAATGGGGTATCAAAGTTTGACATAGGAATACATAGGTAAAATCTTAAAAATCTTCTTCTCAAGAACCAATGGGCCAGGAAAGATGGAAATCATGTAGAATCATCCTCTGGTACATGTGTAGTGTAGATTCCAGTTTGTTTAAATCATGACCCCCGGGGTAGGTACGTGGAGCCACATTACGTATCAAAGTTTAACATATTAGGAATACATAGGAAAAATCTTTAAAAAACTTTTTCTCAAGAATCACTGGGCCAGGAAAGATGAAAATCATGTAGAAGCAGCCTCTGGTAGTGAAGATTCCAGTATATTATAATCATGACCCCCGGGGGTAGGGTTGGGCCACAATGGGGTATCAAATTTTAACATATTAGGAATACATAGGAAAAATCTTTTTCTCAAAGACACCATGTGTGTGATCATAGTTATAATAAATTGGAAGCATCTTCTGAATGTGTAGATTCAAGTTAAATTTGTTCAAATTATGACCCTTAGGGGTAGGGGGCACAATGGGGGATCAAAGTTTAACAAAGGAATACATTTGAAAAGTCTTTAAATATCTTCCTCTCAAGAACAGCAAAACCATAATTGGTCATAATTATATGGAAGCATGATTCAAGTTTGTTTAAATCATAACCCCTGGGGCAAGGGTGGGCCATTATGGGTGATCAAACTGGGATAACATAGGGAAAAAATCTTTAAATTTCTTCTTCTTGAGAACAGCAAAGTTGTGATTGGTCATAGTTAATATATGGAAGCATCCTCAGGTAGTGTAGATTCAAGTTTGTTCAAATCATGACCCCCGGGGATAGAGTGGGACCAAAACGGGGTATCAGAGTTTTGCATAGGAATGCATGAGAAAAATTGTTAAAATTCATGACAAAGCCATGATAATCATCAATTTAAAAGCATCACTAAAATGGATCATAACAATAAACAACAAAGCCATTCTGTGTCATATTAATATTCAATAGCATTCTTAGAAAGTGTAAATTTAAGTTTGTTCAAATACCACCTCCCCCTCACTCTTCCTACCTTGAACCCACTTTTATAATATATTCAATACTGAACTGATTTTTGGTTTTACCTAGCTAGTTGCTCAGGTGAGTGATGTGACCCCTGGGCCTCTTGATCGGTATTATATATATATTTCATGTAGTGGAGAAAACCATTGTCATCCGAGGCGCAGCCGAGGTTGACAATGGTTTTCGAGGGGTGAAAATTTTCAATGTTACACTCCACTATATGCAATATTTATCATATTATACTGAATGTTTATACAAATAAATATAACAGTGAACCGTGCGCGCACAAATTCTGCGCAGTTGCTATTTTTTGGAATACCAACCGTCGTCAAGCAATGTTGACTGTTGCTACGTTGGAGGGCTTGGGTTCATTATTCAGCGGGTAATAGTATTTTTTAACAAATGTTTCTCGACCAATCAGATTCAACTACTTTACATGAAAGTATAATATACATGTATATTCCTTTGTTAAAAGAGAGACTGAGATCAAGAATGAGCTTGCCTAAGTTTTATGGCCCCCAGGCCAGAAAAGCTTAACTGAGATTTCTGCTAAGTTGAGTTAAAAAAAAACTGTTTATTCATAAGACCT